TCTACTCACTGGGGTTTATGCCTAAAGTCAGACTTGAGTTCATGTATAGGTATGTGTCAGCTGTGATAACTATTGGATATATTTAGACTAATTAAGTTCACTGGCAGATCATTTGAATGGGGAGAGGGGAGGCATGGAGGGCAACCGTGGATGCCAGGGACAATGTGGGAGAAGGATGGGTCATAGCAGAGGGTGGGGGATGGGGAATCAAGGATGGCAAAACAAAAGGCAAGGTATGCAGGACATAAGAATTGGGAAATTATTTGCTGAGAACATGTATGTTGATGTGCTTGATTGAGCCAATGCACAGTGTATTTTGGATGGAAAATTCATTTGTGTGTTGTGATGGAAAAAAAAAGAAATTATAATAAAAAATAAATTATAATAAAAAAAAGAAAAAAAAATTAGCACAGAGAGAAATTTGATGGGACTAAAACCAAAACACACTACTTGTGTCTATCAATTTACAAACCCAATATTTTGACCTCTGTTATACAATTATATTCCAAGCTCTGTGCTAGGCACTGAAGATTACAGTGCTAAGTAAGCAAATGTGAATTATAGCCTAACAGGAAAATAGCGTTGGATAGAAGCCTTCTACTATGCTATGTAAAGAGATCATCATCAAACTCCTAATTGCTGATTTACTGAGTGCTTATGCTTGCTTTATGCCAGGTGTTGTTTTTTTTTTTTTTTTTGGAGAGATTTTTGCTATAGGACCTGTGCACTCACCAGAGAGAGAGAGACAGAAAGAGAGAAATCATCCCCCAGGGGGGATGGCCACACCACAATCCCTTCTCCTCCATTCTTCTCTCAGGAACTTGGCATGCATGCACATGCACCCGGCATGAGTTTAAGCCACCGGGTCTGGGACTCAAACCGTGGTCGACTACATGGCAGTCCAGCGACATAGCCATTACACCAACTGCTGGTCCCAGGTATTGTCCTTTATAAATATTAACTCACTCCTTACAACAACCCTGAGATAGAGACACAAGTATTAATTCAATTTCCTAACTGAGGAAAGTGAGCTAAGTAAAGGTTAAGTAACTTGCCCAAGGTCATGTAGATAGAAAACGACAGCACTGGAATTTAAATCCATCAACCCAGTTCCCAAGCCCTCCTCAACAGATCCTTGCTGCATCAATGAATGGAAAAAGTTAATTACAAGTGCAATGAAGCACAATGTCGCAAAGAGATTTGAACTAATCTGTTGATGGGGCTTTTCTAAGGTGGCACTGAAGCTGAGTCTCAGGATGGGATCGTGTGTAGGAATGGAAGAACTTCCAGGATGTGAAGACCAGGAAGACAGCAGAGCTCTTGAGTTGGAAGAAACCTCAACCACCTCATACAGTCTTCTCATTTTATAGATGTGAAGGTAGAGGCACCAGTGATGGTACAGCAAGCTCGGATGACTAAACCTGCCTTCAGAAAAAACATCGAAGTGTTTAACTATGGTAAAAACAGAGATTTAAAAAAAAAAATCTTGCCAGAGGGTGCATGCATTTGTTAGAGATGCTGGGTGTTGGGGGAGGAGTGAGAAAGTACCCCCGCCTCATGGGGAATGGTCCCTTCTCCTCTTTTTCTCCCTCCTTTGGGGATTTTGGGCATGCATGCATATGTGGCAAGTGTGTTTCTTAAGCTACTGGATCTGGGACTCAAACCACATGGCTGTCTATGTGGGATCCAATTCCTGAACTATCATGCCACAGGATAACTTTTTTTCTTTTTTTGAGAGTTTTTTTTTTTTTTTTTGCTATAGGGCACATGTGCTTGCCAGACAGAGACAGAGAAATAGAAAGCGAGAAATCACCCCCCAGGGGGGATGGCCACGCCACAATCCCTTCTCCTCCATTCTCCTGTCAGGATCTTGGGCACGCATGCACACGTGCCCGGTGTGAGTTTTAAGCCACCGGGTCTGGGACGCGAACCACAGTCGACTATGTGGGAGTCCAGCGACATAGCCATTACGCTAGCTGCTGGTCCCTCCCACAGGATAACTTTAACAAAAAAAAAACCAAACAACAGTTACTTTCTTACACCATTATGCTACAGCAGGCTCTCTAACCCTTTTCACATCATGGCACACATGAAAGATAATATTTGGATGGTGAAAGTAGGTTAAGTGGAGGCTGCTGCTTGTGGCTAGTGGCAGCCCCAGGAACTCTGTGTGCTCTGGCTCTACCCAGATGCTAAACTTATCTGTGACTACATCTAATACTTACCATTTGGAAGAAGACATGGGTTCAAAGACTTACCATGGAGGCATTGTGAATGGCTCCAACGGCGCTGTCCATTCCATGATTCCATCTCAGACTTTGCTGTCCCTTCTCCTTTCTGTCCCCTCCTTTGCACCTTCAGGGTATGGGTCCATACAGTCTCAACCTCACAGATACCTCTAGAGTGTGGATTCCATACTTGGAAGTCTCCTCTCATTCCTAGCTCTGCCTACCACTCCAAACTGACCATTTCCTCTAACCTGCCCATATGGCCATTTGGCCATTCTTTTTTTTCCATCAACTTTCTTCTGTTGGACTGAAGAAATTTAATCATACTCACATGATGTTGGCATGGCTGAAATGCTATCCATTCTCCTAAGAAAATAATAAGATTATTACCTTGTAAAAGAGGGGTTAGTTAACTCAAAGAAGTTAATCTATAGATATAAGAGCCACAGGGATGTTGCATGATCAGGAAAAAGCCTCCTGCTACTAATCATATGATGACATTTGGGGAACAGTTAGCTTTTCTCCAGCAACATCAGCAACACACTGCCTCTCCTTGCAGCTTTAATGTGTGAGGGATTTCCACAGACCTGGATTAGGTACACTTTTATGGTACATAGGGAAAAGATGTCAACTATGTGAAATAGATCTGGTTTCCCAGCTCTGTTTGCATGTGGATGAGTGTCCAATAGAAAGTATAACTTTCTTTTTTTTTAAACCAGTCTATGCAGAATATTAAGGACTACCTTCTGTGTGGAAAGGAGAAAGGAACTGAAACTAAAAGTCAAGGAAGCCAAACTTAAAGACTCAGAAGCAGGTAGTGACTTCAGTAGATAAGTGGAGAATGAGTGTCTGGCTTATAAATTATTCTCTGTGTATGTCTGTGTGAATGTGTCGCATACTGAGCCAGATATCCCCTCATCATTCTACCCCAGCCCTTCACCTCTCTCAGTTACCACTGTATTGTGTTGGTGCCAGATTCTGATTGATAAAGATACAGCTGACATTGACTCTTTTTGGGCTTGACTTTGTCAAATGGGGCATACACAACTCTTCCTGATGGAGCTTTCTCTGGTCAATTAAATTCTCAGGTGACAGCTGCTTAGCAGAGCTATGATTTTTCTTAGTAGTTTGGAACTGGCCAACAGTTATCTCACTGACAATTTGGATAGTAAGGCTTTAGGTGGAGGGCAGTAATTGGTCAAAGATTCACTTACGTAATGCTAAGTATGTGGCATCTCTGCTGTGCCTGTCACACTTGAACAAAGGGCACTATAACCTCGGTAATTCACTGATCTGGATTGTATTCTGAGGTTGTTACTCAAATTCTGAAGGAAGAATCTTAAGGGCAACTTCTTAGCTGTTGCCTGAAAGAAAACAAAAAAAGAAAATTTGGGCTTCATTTAGCAGATGCCACTGCCCTAGTTTCTAGAGTACTACCTCACTAGGACATTCAGATATACCCCTTTTGTTTTGGTAGTCATTTTATTTTTCTTTTATTTTATACGTTCAATCACTTTACATCACTATAGCTTGTTAAATTACCCAACATGAATACACTTCTCACCAGTCGAGTTGAAGACATCATACACGTTATAAGTAACAGACATTTATAAGTAACAGATTCCATTTCTGTGTCCCTAAATGTATTGCCTCTCTATTTTACTCCTTAATTCCTTTCCTCTCACTCTCTCTCATCTCCTTCCCTCTTGCTACACTGTCTCCAGTATCCATAACCATTTTCCATGCGTCTATATCCTCTAATCTTTCAGTTTCTGCCATAGAGTGTGGACAGTTGGTATATACAAATATATCTTTAGAATATATCTTCTCATGCAAAGGAATTATCTGTATTATTTTAAATGAAGTGTCATACCCATCAGTCTTAACAGATAACTCTGTTATCTCCCTGGGCATGTGCAGTCAATCACTGTTTTAGAGTGTGTCTTGTCCTTTTTAGTACGATGACCTCTATACTGAAAGGCTTTTGCTTCCTCCTTACTCTCTCCTTTCTCCCTTCTTTCTTCTCCTCCCTCCACACCACATCCTCTTTCTTTTCCTTTTTCTTCTTTCTCCCCTTCTTTCCACCTCTTCCTCCTTTCTTTTCCTTTATTCCTGCTCTTTCTTTCAATGTATCA